TGAAAATTACAAAATAGTGCATTACCACTAGGATATAAGCTAATGCACATAGACAAAGATATAGATGGAAACTGCCTAAACTGTTCTAAAAAGAAACAAATAGTTAAACACTTTGCAATTAATTATAATATTAGCAAAATAATTTAAGAAAAACACTATAATATATATTTAATAATTCTTAAAAAGTAAAGTGCTCAAAAACACTAGAATAAATCTTTATGGCCAGTAATATTTATGATGCCTCTAAACTTAAGACAGCATGATGGATACATATCTTAGCTATATATAAAATATGACTATGATATACTTAAGCCAGATGAGAAAAAAATATTATTCTTGAATTAATAGTTGGTAAAGTTACTGAAAGGAAAATTAAAAGAAACTTGCAAGTTCTAAACAAATTGCAAAAAGGAAAAAGAATACAAAAAATTATGAATTATGTAAACATTAAACACATATTAGACTGTAATAGTTAAATAATTGTATTATATTAATAAAGTACACCAATTTATATTTTTGAAAAAAAAAACTCTATAAGAGCATAGCAGTTTAATAGTATGTTCTAATTGCAAGTATTAGTCTTAACTATAATATTTTTAGATTAGCTATAAAAATAAAATACAGAAAATTCTAAAAGATTTAGTACAAAGGTAAAGGTTTTTTATATAAGTGAACTGCTTTAAAGACTAAGTGGTCATGACATATTTTTACTAATATTAACTAGAGTTGTTGGAAGATATAGATAGATAAATAGATATAAAAACTAAAATGTTTAAATAAAAAACTTACAAGCAGGTTTCAGGTATGACAGCTAGTGTAAAACTTTTGAGCAAACTACTTAAATTAGACAATAACTAAAGTTGTATAAATGGCTAGTTGTATACTCTTTCATAATTGCTTTCTGTAGTTGTAATGTAACTATTAGCTAAATGTACTATTAATAAAATTCTAGGTTGCAAATATTTACCTTAATATTTAAGAAAAAAAGTTTATATATTAACACTTTAAACAGATTTCAGATATCAACTAAAAAGCCACATAACTTTATATTAATAATAATCAAAAAATTATTAACCTTATTTACAATTTTTATTTTTTTATATTCAAAACTTTCAGAGTTAAAGTTCTATTTAATAAACTATCTGTTCTTTATACTTTTTATAAATGCAATTTCTTCTATTCTTTTCTTTACTATTAATGCAACCTGATTAGTACTTTTATATTAAGCTATTTATTTTATTTTATTTTTTTTTTTAAAAACATAAATTGGTATACTTTATTAATATAATACAATTATTTAACTATTTACAGTCTAATATGTATTTAATGTTTATATAATTCGTAATTTTTTGTATTCTTTTTCCTTTTTGCAATTTGTTTAGAACTTACAAGTTTCTTTTAATTTTCTCTTCAGTAACTTTACCAACTATTGATTCAGAAATAATATTTTCTCTCTATCTAGTTTAGGTATAGCATAGCCATATTTCATATATAGCTGAAATATGTATCCATTGTGCTGTCTCAAGTTTAGAGGCATCATGAATATTACTGACTATAAAGATTTATTCTAGTGTTTTTGAGTACTTCACTTCTTGAAGATTATTAAATACTTTATAATGTTCTTCTCAGATTATTTTGCTAATATTACAATCAATTGCAAAGTGTTTAATTATTTGTTTCTTTTTAGAACAGTTTAGGCAGTTTCCATCTATATCTTTATCTATGTGCATTAGCCTATATCTTAGTAGTAATGCACTATTTTGTAATTTCCAGAAGATGTCCTTTTTTTGATTCAATACTTCCTTTGTATCTAACTATTCAAAAGGCTTTTGCTAGTTTTCTTGTAATATTATAGGGACTTGAGAGGTTGTTGGCATTATTGAATATAATTTTAGATATTCTATTGCTTTTTTTACTAAATACTAATCTTCTGACTGGTTTTCTATTTTTAAACTAGAGGTATTCTATGGCCAATTACTTGTAGAGTTGGTTGTTCCTTTAAGTCTTTTCTATGCTGTTAGGTATAGTCTTCAGATCTCTAACCAGCCTTTTAGCTTTATCAGATATTTAGTTAAGGCCTTAGTTATAGTTATTTCTCTTTTATTTTGTAACTGTTTAGATATTAAAACTCTTTCTGTTTTCACCTATAGGCTGTTTTAGATTAGGAGTTTGATCTATACTAATAATAATCTGGCATTCAGAATATTCTTAAGCATAGAAGCTGCCAGTCTTCCTCTATTATAGTCTAGCTAAAAAGCTGCATATCTAGAGAGCATCTTGGATATATTTTTAATCCAATTTGATATAAGGTTGTTTATTATATTTAGCTGCTTTCTGTTCAGTAGTAGCAGATAGGCCAAATACCAAATTTTCAATATAAAAAAAGCTTTAGCTACTAAAATTTTTCCTTTAAAGAATAGGTTTCTAGTCACTATTTTTTCTATTTTGTTCTTAATATTTTGCATTAGACTTTTTCAAAGTTGTTTTTTGGGGTTGCCCTCTATGTCTACTTTATATCCTAAAATTCTTAAAATGGTTTCTTTGTTTGCTATTTTGTATTGACTTTGATTTTGTAATTTCATTACTTTTGCTATATTTGTCATAGGAATTAGTATAGATTTTTCTTGGTTGATTTTAGCATTAGATGCTTGCTCATATTGCTTTAGCAAAGCCATTAACCTTTTCCAATCCTGAGATGAGCTAATTCCTATTGTCAAATTATCTGCATATGCTACAGCTTAGAAGTTGCAACTTGGTAGCTGGACTTCTTTAATCTTCTCTTGAATTTTAAGAATCAATGGATTCAATACCATTATGTATAGCAGAGAGGAAAAAAAGTCTCCTTGTTGAACTCTTCTTTCAACTTTAAAGGGTTCTGAGATCATGTTTGCATCTGCTATATTAGCTATTTGAGAATTAAAAAGAGACTTGATGATATTAATGAACTTCACATTGAAGTTTATTTTTTCTAAAACTTTTAGAATAAATGTGTGGTTTATTCTATTAAAGGCTTTTTGTTGATTTAGAAGCAAGAGCCAGTAAGAGGCAGCTTAGTCTTTTTGATTTTTCATTACTGTAAGAATATCCAAGACAGCATTTGTGATTGATCTTTCTTTTATAAAAGCTTGTTGTAATTGGCCAATTATTGTTTTACAGATTAGGTTAAATCTGTTTGCCAAGATCTTTATAAAAATTTTGACATCACAGTTTGTAAATGATATAGGTTTCCAATTATTTATATTATCTAATACTTCTGTTTTTTTTGGAATTAGTGTAACAATGCTTTTAGTCCAGGACCTAGGAATGTTGTCTGTTTCTAAGCAAAAATTAAATAGTCTTATAAGTACTGAAAGAATTTCATCCTTAATACCCTTGTAGAATTTATATGTAAGACTATCTGAGCCTGAAGCTTTGTTGTTAGGAAGTATGTTTATTATATTATTAACTTTTTTTTCAAAGACTTGTTTCATTAATACTGCATTCTGCAACTCTGTTATAGATAGAAGATTATGTGTAAAAAAACTTGTGGCTTCTGTATCTATTCCATTATTTTTATATATTGCCTGGTAGGTATCTTTAACATATTGTAATGTAGAGGTTGAGTTTTCTGCTACATATTCTTGTAATAGATGTATTTTATTTTTGGCTAATGCTAAGTTTCTTATCTTATACAGAGAAAAGAAAAATTTTGTAAATTTTTTTTCTTCCTTAATTCATTTAACATTAGATCTTGTTTGCCATTTTTCAGAAAATAACTAGAGTTCTTCTTGTAACTGTGACTTAATATTTTCTTTAGTTACTAGAATTTTGTCTGTATTTTCACTATTAGCTGCTTTGTTATCCAGTTTTGTAAGTCTTTTTTGCAGTTTTTGTATTTTCTTTTCAGAAGAAGCTTGTGGGTGAAATGCTCTTATTATAGACTGTATTCTATATTTGTACAGGTCTCACTTTGTAAAATCATAAATATTTAAAACTTCTTTTATTATTTTACTTTTAAGAAGACTGTTATTCTAGCTGTTTTGGAAAAATCTCTATTGTTTGGCTCTAGAGAATGTTGATGTAAGTTGAAGCTCACATTCTACAAGCAGATAGTCTGAGTTGCCAAACTGTGTTGCAATATTCTGACAGTAATAGATGTGATTAGTATCTATGAATATATAGTCTAGCCTAGTAACCATTCTATGATTTTCTTGAGTGTTTTGATAATATGTTAGAAAAGAGTTGCTATTATTCATAGCTATATATATATTTACAAAATTTGTAATAAGCTCTTTGAGTTGTTTTTTTTGTAGAATTATTAGCTGCTAGAGCATGACTAATTTGGTCTTTTTGTGAGTTAAGGTTAGTATTAAAATCTCCTGCCAATATGTTGATATATTCTTCTTCATACTGTGAAGTCCAAATATTAAAGAAACAAGTTCTATTCTCCATATTTGGTGGTGCATATATATTATTTAAAAGAAATAGTTGTTGTTTATATATGAATTTTGCTATGATTACTTGACCTTTATGTAATTCCTTAATATCATCAAAGTAGATATTTCTGTTTCCTGCTAGTATTGCAATTTTATCTATCCAATAGGAACTGTAATTCTATTGTTGTTGCAAAAAATTTCTTGTGTTTACATTTTCTAAGTTTGTTTCTTGAAGCATGATTATATCTATTTTATACAATTTTAAGAGTATAAGTGTTCTGTAAGCTTTGTCCTTGTTATTTAAACCTTTAACATTTAAGGTTGCAATTTTGATTAACTTAACTATATTTGTTATATATGAGATGTAGTTTAGAATCTGTTAGTCTTTGAGTTAAAGACCTTTGAGTTCACCTTATTGGATTTGTTTTTCTCTAAGATTGCTATTTTGAATTTGTGTTTGTGCTTTCTCTTAGAGATAACTACTTTAAACCTATTAGAATCTTTTTGCTTAGTATTTGTCAACATTGTAACTATTGGCATATCATTGTATAGAGATGTCATCAGGTCATAAAGTCTATTTTCTTGTTATATTTTTTGTATATTTAATGCAGCTTTCTTTTGTATTGTTTTTTCTAAAAACATAAATTGAGTGCTTTTAGCACTATTATTCATTTCAGTTTCTGTTCTTGGTTGTTTTATTTCTTTGTTATTTGGAAAGCTACTATTAGCTTCAATTTCTGCTTTTGGTTGTTCTGCTTTCTCATTATCAAGGTTCATTTCTAGACTAAGTTTCTTAGTATAAGGATTTTCTGTGCTAAATTCTGTTATAGTTTCTTCTTGATAATTCATATATTTTTTTTCTTGTAATCTTTGTTTTCTTCTTGCCTTTTGCAAGTTTCTAAGTTTAACAAATGCTTGGTATTTAGAACATTCTTTTTTGATATGTCCTGTTTTGTCACAAAAGTAACAAAGTTTCAAAGCTTCTCTCTAGTTTGTTGTTATTTTGTAATCCCAAACATGTGTATACCTAGGAATTCTTTTTGCTAGTTTAGGATCATCTGTTGTTTTGAAAATTACTACCTATTAGTCTGATAATATTGAAGTTTCTTTATATACTAATGGTTTGATAGATGCAATTGGATCCACATCTTGGAATGCCATTTTAATTTGATCTGAAATAAAATTTTTCTTGTCCATAAAGGCATTTTAAAGCCTAACTAAAAGAAAGCTACATCTAATATTAATTGGAATATACTCTTAAAGGTTTTGTTTAAAAATAACAAGACCTTCTACAAAATATAGCTGTTGCTTATCCTTATTTACAAAAACTACTACCAAATGTGTTCTTTTTTTCTTGAAAATAATTGGTTTGATCGCAACTATATCATCTCTAAACTTTTGTGCCATTGCTTTTACAATGCCAGTTGTTAAAATATTTTTCAGATTCTTTGTATTAATTCTTTTTCTTGGTGAGTAGGTAGAGTATGTTGCCTTTCCTCTTTCTAATTTGGAAAACAATTTTGACTATTGTCTTGGTCTTGGTTAGGAACCTGCTTTCTTAGTCATATAACTTGTATCTTGTGTTTTGTTGTTATCATATTCCACATGACTATTTTGTAAAACATGATCTGTTTTTTTGGTTATTCTGGCAGTTTCTGACATATTTATTCACAAACTGTCATGTTTTTTACTTTTTCTTCAATTTTATCTTGGTCTTGACTTTTGGTCAAAGGTTCCTTACCAACATAGTTTTTATTAAAACCTACTGTTTTGTTTGCATTTGCTAAGGTACAGTAGGCAGCAAAAGTAATGCCTGAATTTTTACTAAAATAATAAATTTTTATTTATTAAATTTCTGCTTTATATACATCAAAATTTTTTTTATGTTTATTTAATATTTGCATGCACAACTCTTTGCACTTGCTATTACTTTGATTTTTCACTGTACTGATTCTACAAAAGGCTGAAGAATCAACACATCCAAATTTGATCATGCTTCTTTTATGATTATTTTAAGCTCATCTACATCTCTTGAAAAGTTCTCCTAATTTTGAATATTGTCTTTTACAACCTTCTAAATGTTCTCTATTGGGTTAAGATTAGGGATTGTGATAGCCAATTCATATAATTAATTTTTTTTGATTCAAGCCATTTTGTTATCTTACATATAGAGGCATTATTATGCTGAAATATTAAATTTGATCCAACTAACGAATGTATGGCAGCAATAAATAATACAAAATTGTTTTCAAGAACCTTAATATATATTTTTTGTTGATTTTTTGTTTGTGATCCTTATAATTATTAAAAAAAAACTATGAGATCTTTGATTTCATCAATAAAGCATGACTATACTATTACTAACACCCATTCACTTCTAAAATTTGGTACCAAATACTCATGCTTATATTATTCATCTGCATAATGTCATGCTCAAATCTGACAAGATTGTTTGCCTACTTTTATGCTTATTTCATCAGAAAAAATAACATGTTACCACTCATAAGGATTCTTGTTTAAATTTTGTTTACACCAATTTTTGCACCTGATTATATTGTTGTTTGACAAAAAAGGTTTTATTATAGCAATATGAGAATGAACTCCAAAGCTGTGCAAGGCTCTAGCTATAGTCTTCTAACTGCATTGTAGATTTAAATTCTTGATAATACTACACAGGGGCTTGCACCTCTCTTTCAATGCTTTTTTTAATATGGTGGTTTTTTCTTCCTTTTTTAGAATGAGGAGATGTTTAGAGAAAGGTAAATTTTTTATTTTTTTTGTCTTCTTGTACTTTTTTAAAAACCTTTAAACCATTGTTGGGTCATAGCCAATCTTATAGACAACTTACTCAGCACTTATATTTTCAATAAAAGCAAATATCATACCCTTTTCTTTGTTAGTCATTTGGGTGCATGATATTTTATAAATTTTTTTTGTTTCTTTCTTTAACATTGTTATTTTGATGTTGAAGAAACAAAAAAACAAAAAAAATTGCCTTAAAATACTCAAGTTTGAGGCAAATCAAGCACTTTTATTTGCATATGTGCATCAATATGCAGATCAGGCATTACTTTTGTCATCTACTGTACCTAGAATGAATTTTTTCAAACTTCTAGCCTTATTTGGCAGCTCTGCTTCTTGGTTTTGTTTTCTTTCTTCAAAGAAGGAAACTTTGATTTTTTTGTTTTTTTCTGTTTTGCCTGTTAAAGAGCCAGACATAACTATACAGACTTATTTTCTTTTCTTTGGCACAAGAGCTTTAGCTCTTGTGTTATAGTTTTTTCTAAAGTTTAATCATTTGTTTATTGTTGTATATGTTATTTTGCCCTCCACCAAAATCAGAGTGGAGAGAGAGAGAGAGTTTTTTTAATTTCTATTTATTTTTTTTTCAAACTATTTATTAGCTTTTCTTTAACTTTTTTGATACTATTTTAAATACAACTTCTTTTAACATTTTTGTAAATCTTATTTCTAACTTGCACAAAAAAATTCTTTTACTTAACAGCTTCAATATACACAATTTTTTATACAAACTCTTTTTTTTTTTTTTCTCTTAAACAGTTATACTAGTACTTTATTAAGATTTTGAAATTACATTTGTAATTATATAAATGTTTTTAACAACTAAGTCTAGCATTATCTGGTCACCTTAATGGTATCTAAGTGCAACCTGTTGTATTACTTTAAACAAAAATAAGCTACTTGTCTAACTACTTAAAGTTCATAATAGGAAAGTCTTCTCTCTTTCATAACAAGTCCCAATATTGTCTTCTGTGTTTTTGTTCTAACTTGTTCTTCTTTTTCTCTTATTTTCTCTTTTTTTTTTTCTATCTTTTGCTAATTTGTCTTTTTTTCTTTACATAATCTTAGCTTCTTTCTTTCCTTTCTTTTTTTTAACCTACTTGTTATTCCTACTTTTCTTTCTTATTCACTAATCTTCTCATATTGAACTCTTTATACTTGTTTATAAAATGTATTCTAGGCTGTACTTGCTATTATACTTGTAAACTACTGTTTTGACTTTATGTTTAGAAGCTGCCATAATTGATTTTATGTTTCTTTTGGAATTAGGCCTTTAATTAGAGCCTCTTTTATTCTCACTCTTTTGCTTCTGTTTTACCAAAAAGTATTATATATAATATATATGAAGGGATTTAGACTTTTTCTTCTTTACTAAGTTCCTTCCAAACTATTGTGATAGTTACTTTTTGATTCTTTCTTATAAGTTTTCTTGTTCTTTGCATATTGCTAAATGCATTTGTATTTTTTTTAATTTTATCTTTGCATACTTGGCATTCAATTATTGTATACACATCTGGTCTTCTTTTGTTAAGTTCTTTTAGAGTCAGAAGTTTGTCTATCACACATTTTATAAATGCACTTCTTTTGGCACTAATTCTTCTTATTATACAATGCATCCCTTTCATCATTTTTAGTTTTTTTCAAAAATAGGTCTAACTATAAATCATAACTTCTGGTTCTGGTTTTAATTCTTTAATTGCTTTTGTTTTTCTCTATTCTGCTTTTAATCTTGCATTCATTATTAATTTATATAACAATCTTGCTGGTATGTCAGTTTGGTTATTTTTTCATTCTAAGCAGTACTTTATTTTTTTATTTTTTTTTTGCTTATACTAAGGCCATAGTTATCGGTAACTATTGCTTTATTGTATTTTAATTATAATTATATAACTTGTACAAAGTAAGTAGATAACTAGCTATATATACAACTTTTAGTTGTCTATTTTAAATAGTCCATTTACATAGCAGGTTCTATACTAGCTACTATACTTGCAATCTACTAGAAGACTACCTATTTAAACACTTTGATCCTTATATTTAAACTAACAAATAGTGCACAAGTTTGCATATATTTAAGTTTTGTTTAATCTAACTGTAATCTTTCTGTCTATACATTTATTAAGCTGTTATATATTTTAGAGTATATTACCTGACTATAAGGCTTTAGAGGGCCTTTTTGCTAACTAACTACTCACATTTAGTCTTTTGTTAACAGGGCTCAGCCTTGCAGAGTTTATCTAGACTCTAGCACCAACTTCATAGCATATCGTTAGTACTTATAATATACTCCTATTTCTGACCTTAGACTTCTAATCCAAATAGCCCAATAGAACTATAATCTGTCCCTAATACCCTAGAGTCTGCTTTCTAAGATTCTTTTCTTCCAGTTTGAGACTTCTAACAGCCTGGTTGATGGTATTCCTCATCTGAAATTCTTGTTCACCTGATTCCTTTCATATTGGTATCTGTTTTCTAGATTTAGTTTTTACAATAGTATTGTCAAAGATCTGTGCTACCTCTCTGCTTGGGTCTTTTCAAGTGGACACCAGTTTCTTAGTTCATGGATTTATACAACTACAAGAACTTATTTTGGTTTTACACTGTCTGATGCCAGTTTGCATTTCTCTATATAACTCCAATATTGTGCAAATGCCCTATGCCTGCCAGTTATCTAATGCAACCATGTTACAGGTACTAATCCCAACTGATTAATGGAATGCTGTTGCTATAATACTGCTTACCTCCTGTAATACTAAAATAACATGAATGATTTTCCAAATTTTCACTATTGGTGGGTTTTAAACTTCCAATCTACCACTGGAGAGTTAACAACTTAACCACTTCACTAAGTTACTACACCACCTCTATTTCTTTACAACTGACTTTTTTGATTTGTTTTATTTTCTTGCTTGTTGCTCTTTTTTTTGCCAAGCTATTAACTTTATTATTCTATTTATCTTTACTATAACTTTTTACTTTAACTAACTCTATCTGAATATTTTTTGTTATAATAAAGTTTTTTATTTTTATTATCTATACTGCATTCTTCTTTTTGAGAATTTTGTTTTTATCTGTTTGTTCTAAACCTTTATTAATGTTTCTTATTGCCATATTACTATTTATATATATTTCTATCTGCTTTTTCTTTGGTACTGTTAATATTGCTATCTATATTGCTACTAGCTCAGCTATCATTGACATTTGCCATTCTTCTAGGCCTATTGCTATTTCTTCTTTTGGCCATTTTTGGGTTTCATTTATTTGGACCTATCATATACTCATTCTATTTTTAGTTATTGTATCTTCTTTAATCTTCATATTTGTTATACTATCTGTATATATTATATACTTGTTCTTGTCTCTTGTTATATTTCTTCTTAAGACTTCTATTATTTTTAGTTAATGTTCTCATCTAGCCTTTGCCATTTGATGATTTCTATTTCTAACTCTTCTATTGTTCTGATCTCTTTGAGTTCTTATTCTTTAGCTTCTGGTTTTTTCATCTTTACTGTTTTTGTTATCTGATTTATTGCTATATTAATTTTATTACTGCTTTTTTTTATTAACATATTTGGAACTATATTAATTTTGTTGTTTATTTTGATTTACTGTTGGCAGTTATTTTCTGCACTCTCTTTAGCTCTTGTATAACTCTTGCATCTCTTTATTTTAACAGCTAATTTGTCTTCTTTACTTCAAATTTGGCAGTGTTTTACTAGTAATTTTTTTAATTATTTTTTCTAACTGCCTATGGTTTTGTGCACTATATATTATCCATTCTTTTCTTCTCTTATCCTCTAATATTCTCTTCTATTTAATCTGCATTGCCTATGTATTTTACCTATTTGTTCTAAAGTGTC